AGGAAGATTCACTTGCGCTTTGACCTCGTTAAAGGTGGCAGGTGGCAGGTGCCACCGACGAAATATCGTCGGTAACTTGATCGGCGTCGTTCGCGCAACGCAAGCGAGGCGAGAGATGATCGTGGTGGCCATTTACTGCGTGGTGTTCTTCGTGGTTGGAGTCTTGTTGAAAATATTCATGTTCTGTTGAGCCCCCCCGGTTTATTCAATCGGCTGTTCAACCGTGGATTTAAGCGTGGAAAATACAGGTGGATGAGCTTTCGGTTTTAACGTTAGAGAGAAAGAGAACTGATAATAAAAGTTGGTGGAGAGAAAGTTCTGTCGCGAGAGTTAACGCCGTGCCGGTGTTCACGGTAACTTGGCGTCGAGATTGGCAAACTCTCGGCGACGACCGATACATTCATTCGATAATCCCACGTTCCGCTGAGCAAACGTCAATTTTCAGGAAGCGACATGGCATCCGCTAGAAGCAGGAACCGGTCGAAACACGAGCAACCCATACGCCGGTCTGCCGCAGGACTGTGGAGTCTCGCCACCCCTGTCGAAGGACGGAGAGCCAGATAATAATAATTCAGGAGCGGAAGACCTGACGTATTTGAGGCATCTCGAATTAGAGCCTATCGATCCTCTGACCGGCCTGCCTCTGCATCCGGGTTTCACAGCCAGGGGTGGCAGAACACCATGCACCGTCACGAGGAGACTGATAAGGCAGACTGCAGCTAATCAGGCGAGTCGTTTCTCTTAACTTTCGTTACACAGTTTTCGTTTACGTGGATGCCATTTCTCTGAAAGAAAGACCATTCTCTTTGTGGAAAAAATTCTGTACAAAAAATTCTACACTTGAAATATTATCACGCATTCGATTAATAGCGATCATTGCTTGGACGTGCTTTCACGCGAGACTTTCAAACTCCTCCATATTTCTCGAATTCGACGACTTATATTTTTCGTTGTCGAGACACGTGTCTCTCGCATATAGTCCACGTAGCTTCGTGATTGACCAAACGTTTTCAATTGGCATCGAGGGACTGAGATGGCCAATCCAACACGCTGATATCGTTTCCCCTTCTTCGCCGCGTGTATCCGAGTTTCCTTTATTAAACAAGTGTTTCGCGAACTTTCGACGAGTGCGTCGATTGTTTAAAAACGCGCAAAGATCCAAATTTGCAAACGTTAAGGCAGTCCCAAATATGCATTTTTATTGGACGTTTGGCAGTTCTCTATTGGATTTCCGTGGACAGACCACAGGATTTGAAATCTTTACTTGTATGCTGAAAAGACACACTATTAATCGAGCGCGTAATAGTATTTTCGATCTGTGCAAAAATTTTTTACAAAAAGAATACCTTTTTCTAGAAAAATGGAATCCATGGTCTTATATACATATAAGAATGTGGACGCCATTAATCCGAAAAAAAATTTTCTTTTTGTAGAAAAAAAAAAAATATATATATATA